GTTAGAGTGCGGGTGGCCAATCTCATTCAAACCGCAAAAACGTCACCTTTTACAAACATCGGTACAGTATCTGAGCCATATTGTAAGCGTGTCCAGGCTACCCACGGATCCCGCCAAAAATGCGTGTGTGCAGGTCGGTGGGTGAAGTTTGCAGTTTCGTCGGGTTTGTGTCCTACAATCGCCGGTTCATTCTGGGGTGCGCAACGATCGCCAAACTGCTCCACGCATTGACCACTAAAGGGCAGAGATTTTGGTGGGGGAAGCAGGTCGCGTCTGTCGCGCTACGTCAAGGCCTCGCCAACGTACCCCCTGTCAGCTACCCCGATTTCTCTCTGCCCTTTATTTTGGACACGGACGCCAGCGATACTGGGATAGGCGCTGTACTGTCACAGGTCGTAAACGGTGCGGAGAGGGTCATAGCCTATGGTAGTCGGGTGTTATCTCCCGCAGAACAGCGCTACTGCGTAATGCACAGGGAGTTGTTGGCCATTTTTTATTTTGTCCAACAGTTTCGGCCCTACCTTTATGGATGGGACTTTGTGGTGCGCACGGCCCACGCGGCCCTTCAATACTCCCTGCACATTGACCAGCCTTCCGGGCAGCTGTCCCGCTGGCTCAAAGTACTGCAGGAATACACATTCACTGTTGTTTACAGGAAAGGCGTAGGGCACTGCAACGCAGATGCACTGTCTCTCGCCTGCCACCAAATAACCAGTGCGCATGGTCTATGGGTGCGGGCCGGTGTAGACCTTCACTGGCTGGCCTGCCTCGGGTGGTGGCGGCGTGTGGGGATGCAGTGCCACTTGTGGTGGCTGAGCCCAGTGATGGTGCGCTAGGCTTCACGCTTGCAGAGTGGGGACGACTGCAGATGGAGGACGTTTCCTTGATTAAATTGCGGTGCCGTGTAGAAAATATGGGGAGTAGAGCCGTTCCGTCAGGGGCCTCCCTTGTAGTCCTTCGCAACAGCTCTTGATGCGATGGGATGAGGAGCTGCAGCGCTATTGTATGGTGTTATTTGGTTCTTACAGTAAAGTCACAATGAAAGAAAAAAAAGAAAAACTATGAAAGAAAAACTAAGACGTTTCGATCACAACAGGCGATCGTCATCAGGAGGAAAAATGGTAAAAAGAAAAATGGAAAAAGCCCCTTTTTCATCCTGATGACGATCGCTTGTGTTGTGATCGAAACGTACAGTGGTTCCCACCGCCCTGCGGGGTAAACTCATCCGAGTTGGTATATGAGAAGCTAATGCACCTTGGAGTCTGTAAAATGCTGTTGATGCTGAAGCGGGACATCTATTCGCCTGGGTATGATGGGTGACTTATATCACCTGGTTAAAGGGTGCGCCAACTGCGCACCACGCCGCAAACCACCGTCGAGGCAGTCCCAGCCTCCATGACAATTCAATCACGGTGTCTCGAATTAACGAGCTAGTCGCACTGGATATTTTTGGACCATTCCCCGCTACTCAGAGGGAAAATACATTTCTCCTGGTCGGAGTGGAATATCTTTGCCGGTGGCCGATGGCATGGCATCTGCCTGACCAGTCGGCCGCATCCATTTCGGACGCATTTTTGCATGGCTACATCATGGATAAGGGAGCCCCTGAACAACTTCTCGCAGATCAGGGGCAGAATTTTCTTCTAAATTGTTACGGGAGGTGTGCGACTTCCTAGGTACTAAAAAAAGAGGACTTCACCCTACCAACCTCAGACGGGATGGTGGAACGCCTGCACAGGACTGTAACATTGATGCTGTGCCAGGGGGGTCAATGAAGTGCAGTAGGACTGGGATTTGCACACCCGCGGTGTCTAATTTCATCTTGTGTATGGGAGGGAGAGCGACCCCCCCCCCCCCGTGCAAAGTTACGTTCAGGCGATTGACAGAGACACAGGAAGCGTCCAAGGGGAAATTCGGGCCAAGGGGCAGGCCGCGAATGAGAAGTTCCATCCATTGGGACACCGTGCGTCCGGGCTCCCGTGGAAAACTGGGGACAGGGCATGGCTGAAATGTCCACAGGTACCCCCTGGGTACGTCCCCCTAATTACACCGGCCTTGGGGCGGGGACCCTGTTGAGGTCGAGGTTGAGTTGGCCGCAGTGCGTGCGCTTTCAGGTCGGTCGCCGTCACTGGTTTGTGCACCCGTCAAGGTCGGAACCATATGTTAATTCCCAAATGGAAAGCTCATTTCCATCTCCAGAGCAGCCGGTGTCTGATGTGTCCGAAAAGCCGGGGCAAAACGAGCCCCAAAAGCGGTACTTCAAAGGGATTGCGTTGTGCCGCCCTACAGAATCCCAGCATCTGCCGCCCGGTGATCCTCCTACATCTGCTCCGGAATGAAGGGCCGCGTGCGGAAGCCCGGTTGCCATCCATTTCTCCCACGGAGGGCCGCGACCCTTCAGGCCATTTGTGTGAAGTTCCTGCACTTCCCCACTGCGCAAGTCCCACTCGTGGTGGGGGGACCGGCGTCGATAACTTCCACAAACTGCCCAATTATCATGGAGAGTTCAGGATTTGGAAAGTTTCATATAAAATACCAAGGCAGTTGTTTTGTTTGAGTAGAAGAAATGCAAGGCCACACCTCTTCATGACACACTCCAGTGAGTAGCCATTACCAGATCATTCACATGGTTGTCCAGTAGGCAATGATATCTTGACAACAATGCATCGATTAACCTCCCCATGTAACTGCACCTCATATGAATTCTTCTTTTCGCGGCATTGGAAGAGTCGAACAACATAAGCAATGATGATGCTACGTAAACAAATGTACGGGCTAGAGAGCATACCTGTCATACCCCAACTTGAATAGTAAATGGGCCTGATCAGGAAGCTGTAGCCGGTCCTGGCGAACGGTGGACTGATGACGCCTGGATGTCTGTGGAATTCAGGATCCAGGATGTCTCACGAGGGGTAGACAGCCCTCTACTGAGCACAGCATAATGCCAAGCAGGAAGATGCTCTTGTTCTGAAAAATAAAACTACAGGTGCGTGGGAACGTGATGATGAGAAGTGGAATGCAGAGACTGCTGCGAGTACCTTTTAAGTTGGGCACGGTGCACAAGGTGTGTCAATCGCATTCCAAGTACTGTCCATGCATACACAACACAAACTCACTCGCGCCCACAATATATACACACACAATGCACTCACAAAATACACGTGTATATTACACAAACTCTTCAACATTTAGGTGGTAAAGTAGAGCAGTAATAACTCTCGCGCTTCACAGCAATAAGGGTCCTGGGTTCGATGCCTAACTCGGTCTTTTCTGTTTGGGTTTGTAATTTCTTCCCCTGTTCTACATTGGTGTTCCACTGGATTGTCCGTTTTTCTCCCAAACCTAAACTCATGAAATGTAGTTTGTGTTCACCAAATAGTCCAATACAGGACCCTCCTGAAAAATAAATGTTGGACTCTTGCAGCTAAATGAGACATTAAACTGGAAAATCCTCTCACACAGCACACAATTTTTATTTTACCAGTTAAGGTACACCGAGCTATAGAGCTATTTTTCAAAAGCAACCTGATCACAATTATAGTGCAACCAAGTAACTCATTACGTGGACATTTATAGCTGCTAAATATTTCTAAATGTGGAGGGGGATAACTTGAGGACCCGGAGAAAAATCAGTGTGACCACATGGAGAACATGCAAACTCGATCTTGATTTGAAGCTTTCGTGACAGCAGGAATCCATACTCTTTGGTTCTTTCGGTAAAGTCACGTAGGTTTAAAATAAAATAAATCACGACGTTTCGGGTGCAACACAAGCGTCCATCATCAGGTGGGAAAGCATGGTCTGCTGCTGAGGCAGACTGTTTTAAAAAGTTTGAAATGGGTGTAGCTCAAGGGTTATAAAGAAGTGGCCGGAACTAGTGATGTTAATGTGAGAAATTAGCATGTAACGGTAAGATAGAAGAGCAGCCTCCTAAACGAGGGCACGGAAGTGGCTATGTTAATGTGAGAGATTAGCATGATGTTAATGTGAGAAATTAGCATGTAACTGTAGAAAAGAAGGAGAATAAGAGCAGCCTCCTCGACGAGGGAGTGCATTTACCGAAAGAACCAAAGAGTATGAATCTAAATAAACTTAAAATCTAACTCCGCTCTCTGACGTCACAACTCAGCATTACCTCATCGGCGTGGGACGCGAGGGGGAGGTGTAACCCACTAGTGACGTCATGTCACCAAGGAGCTCACCCCCCCCAGCCCCCCCTCCACCTCGAGTTCACTCACATATGGGCCTAGTTCATTAACATAATTTATTAAGTTCCACCGCCGCACATTGGGTATGGTAGTGTTTTGTTCCCCTCTAGTGACGTCATGTCTCCGCCTGCAGCCGCGTGACGTCACGAGATTCCAGGAAGCTGCCGATCCACTCGCCTGCACTCACTGGGATCCGAGGTGAGAAGTTCACATCGTGGTTGTTGTTGTGGTGGTTGTTGTTGTTGTTTACCCAGGTAGAGCCTCGCTCCTTCTCTCTCTCGTAGGGATATCAATTGAGTAGCAGCGAGGATGGAATCGATGTCCAGGTTGGAACATTACAACGCGGGGCCTAGCCATGCGGGGCCTTGCCTCCTCCCCTCGCCTGAATGCATTTGCTTTAATTCTCTGCTAAAGTTTAATTTGTCTTCACCTGGCTCACTACTTTGAAACTTTGTTTCTTTTAAATATTTCTACAGTTTTTAATCTTACCAAGGCCAAGCCCACTTGAGCTGCTATACCGCTCTTTTTCAGAAGCGACCTGCCCACAACAAAGTGGCTTATCAACGTGTGGAAATGTATATCGGTCAAATACTCTAAACACGTGGTGATGTTGGCTCTTAATGTGGAGGGAAAAACAGGAGGATCCGGAGGAAAACCCTTGCTGCTGTAAAGCCCCTACCGACGATACACGAACTGGACAATGTTCGAGCCTTGAAGGAACTTGGCATCGCCATCAACTCACTAGCCAGCGGCAAGTCCCCGGGAAAGGACGGCATCACACCTGAGGTACTGAAATGTGCGAAACCCGCCATCCTCACGAAACTCTATGAACTTATCTGCCAGTGCTGGGAGGAAGGAGCAATGCCTCAAGACATGAGAGACTCCAACATCATCACCCTATATAAAAACAAGGGTGACCGCAGGGACTGCAATAACTACCGCGGCATCTCCCTGCTGAGCATCATGGGGAAAACCTTTGCCCGTGTGGTCAGCAGATTACAGATACTAGCTGAGAGGATGTATCCTGAGGCTCAGTGTGGTTTCAGAGCAGGAAGGTCCACAATTGACATGCTCTTCTCCTTGCATCAGCTACTTGAGAAATGTCGAGAACAGAGAATGCCCCTGTACTTGGCATTCTTTGATCTTACAAAAGCCTTTGATCTCATCAGTAGGGGAAGCCTCTTCAAACTCCTCAAAGTGATTGGCTGCCAACTGAAGCTGCTGGCAGTCTTCTCTTTCCATGACAACATAAAAGGAACTACAGCACAGCGGCACCACCTCAGAGGAATGTACCATACTCAGCGGTGTAAAGCAGGGATGCGTGCTTGTCCCAACACTGGCATATTTTTCTCACTTATGCTCACACATGCCTTTGATGGCAAACTCTTCAACCTTGGCCGTCTCGGATCCAAAACCAAAGTCCGCAAAGTCCTCATCAGAGAACTCCTATTTGCTGATGATGCCGTGCTGACAGCTTACACAGAACAAGGTCTGCAGACACTCATCGACCACCTTGCAACAACTTTGGCCTGACAATCAGTCTGAAAAACACCAATGTCATTGGCCAGGGTGTCAGAGACACCCCTTCCATAAACATTGGCAGCTACACCCTGGAAGTCGCTCAGGACTTCACCTACTTGGGTTCCACCATCACCTGCAATTTGTCCCTTGTCACAGATATTGACAAGCGCACACGTTTTCTGCGAGGGACATTATCGGTGGAGGTCAAAGTTATTAAGCATAATAAGAGTAAATATTGCGTGAGTGAATGCTATATAGAGATTACGGAAATGATAGTTGAATGTGTAATCGTAGGAATGTGAAGACATAGCCACAAAGGAACAAAGTAATTGTAGTGCTTGATGTGGGTATTAATAGTATGTCTGTGGTGGTGTGTAAATATATAATTATTTTAACGCGAGTGCATGTATTTGCATGCTTTTTATTTCTTACCAGGCGATGTAGACTTGACGTATTTAGTCGTAGCTGTTCTATAGCATCTATGTTGTGTAGAAGGAGAACGGTAGTCCTGGTACATAGATGTAAATATTTTAGAATAGTACATGTTTTTTTAATAAATATTGCAGTGTGTATTATAGGTGAGCCGTGCACATGCAGAGAGGATAGTAAGCCCGAAGTGGATGAATTTGGCAGCAAAAACGCAGGGCTGATAATAGGGAAGGATAATGTGGTAAATATGAGACACGTATGTTATGGTGAGTGCGTGGAATTGTAGAAAATGAAATGTCATAATGTGCTTGCATGTGTGGCAAACCAGAAGTTGTGAGAATGCCCCAAGCTTTAACACATGGCAAGAGAGAGAGCGGGGGGGAGGTGAGCAGCGTGGGGGGAGGGTGTGCAGGTGGTACTACAGGTGTTGAAGGTGAGCAGGTAAGCTAAAAATAGTGCGAAAAACACACGAACTCACCCGTGCGTACGCATGGAAAGTTTGAGGTGTGTTGGCGCAAAGTCTGCTTTATCATTTAAAGATTTATACTATTTTGTTTGTTTCTCCGTGTTTATTTAAATTGTTTAGTTTATGGGGAATACAGTATAGTACTTATTTCAATTGTGATGTGAACTTTAGTTGACGTTTACCTAATGCCATTGCTTAGGTAAGGCTTAAGTATTGAATATCGCGCTTTTAGCTTTTGCAATTTCCAAAAACGTATCTTCCGCGATATGCGAGGAGCTGCTGTATTTTTGTCATCGACTACAGCAGAATTATCAATTTTCAGCAGAAAATAGTTCTCGGCTTTCTTGATTTAATTAAGGCTTATGGTACCACAAAGAGGCTTGGGGCTTTGGGTTGTTATTTGTTTCCAAATATATGCCTCTGCTCTCATTTACTGAGGATTTGTACGATTTTGGGCAGCCCCGTCTAAAGCTGCGTGACCAGGAGTCAGAGCCATTGCCTGTTAAAATTGGCTTGTGACAGAAATTCATGCTGGCCCCATGCATTACATAGCATCTTCAATAACTATGTAGTTTGAGAAGCTCCCAATGGTCATATAAAAACAATTACATTCGTTATGGTTACAATTATACGCTAATTGATGCCTGGTTTTAGTTAAAGGATCGTTTCCTGCTGGTCAACCATGTTACATCTGATTATTTGCTAATGGCTACTCAATGAGATGGAATTCGGGAATCTTGTTCTGTGCCTTGATAATTCCATCATGGAATGGGACCTTGCAAATGTTCCACATAAATAAATCACCTGCCTGGGAATATCATGTCATACAACACTGCACCTCCTCAACTCTCCATGAATAATCAGGCAGTTATACAAGTGTTGGAGGAGCTCCCATACCTGGTTAATGTGTTCACGACCAGCCCTGGTTTGGCAGCCAAAGTCTCATTTCAAATTTGTCGAGCAGCATTCTTTCATTAGACTGTAACACTGTGTGGAAGGTGCCTGGACTTTTGCTCCATACAAAGCTGTGAGTGTCCATCTCCAAGGTCTAGTCTGTCTTGAGACCATCCATCTCCCTGCCATACTGGCATGGCACCCGCCCCTCACCCTTCATCCTGCGGATGTTCGACGCACAGGATGGCACCACGTAGCCACTGAGTTACGTGGGTCACACAGCCACAAGGCGCTTGTTGGCAAACACAACCCATGGGTCTGGCTCTAGGGGTGATATCAATATAGAATATATGTAAGGATGCCCCCCAATAGGCTCCCCCTGGAACTCTACCAGACACGTCCCACTGGGTGATGACCCCGGGGCTGGCCCAGGACATGCTGGCATTACTATGTAGCTCAGCTGGCCTGGGAACACTTGGGAATTCCCGAGATTGAGCTAGAGTCTGTTGCCAGGGAAAGGGAGGCCTGGACCACCCTACTCAGCATGCTGCCACCGCGACCCTCACCAGGACAAGCGTTTTTTAGATACTAACGAACAAAGCTGTGATTCTTCTTGGCCACAGATATTACTGTGTGCATTCAGAATATTAACTTATTTAAATTACCATCTCTGCTGGCTTATACATTGAAGGCTAGCCTGCCTATGATTCATTCTCTATTTAACCAGACTATATTGTATTATAAGCTTACAGATCCTTAAGATATCAATTTAGAATATAATCTTGAGTCTCTTTGGCAGGTGAGGCTACATTGGTTCGGTCATGAATCCCACATTCCCAGACACTGCATGCTCAAGCATCTTTTGTTTGTCCAGATAGTAGGGGCTGAACAGGCATGGCATTGGCTAAAGAAGAGATTGAAGGATGTGGAGGTGGTCGGACCTGCTGATGACTGGTACCGGGAGTGTCAAGATTGGCCTCAGTGGAGGAGGCCCGTGAGGTATGCTGCAGGGCAATTAATAGATATTTGCTCTGCAACAACGATGGGGTCGAAAGAGTGATGCCCACATGAATAGGTAGACCGCTGGATTCCTAAAACCCAGCAAGACAGTGGGGAGCACAGCTGGTTCATCTGTCAGTCTTCCCTTTACACCTGGATCATTACCTGCCGACAAGGAATCCACACTTACATGGACTTAAATTGCATCTATCATGGCATTAGCACTGGGATAAGTTTACTTGCAATTCGTCATGAATGGTGGATGTTGTGTTTATATATGTTTATTATGCATGTGAAATGTATGTGTATTTAAGAGTTTATCTTTGTTGGGAGCTGTGGTGCACTTATTTCACTGAATTATGAACTCAGCAATTAGTTTGATTATTGCTGACAGCAAACATGATTGATAAGTGAAAGCTGAACTTATTGTGGGCCTCTGCTATGTTGATTGATCTTAAATTAATTACATGGTGAAGTGAGGAAGCATTAATACTGAGCAGATGAAGCTGGCCAGGCATGGTTCTGGACACACCACCACCTTTGTACAATGCCAGTGTGTCACAGTGTCAACTTTGTATTTGCAGTAAATGATATTAACTATTGAACATGGAGGTTAAATCAAAACAATAGTTTATTTTAGTTTTCCTCTGCAACTTTTTGTAAGAATGGAAACAGTCAGGAAATTAACACAGCATATATGCAGCTGAAGTTAGATCTGTTCATCCGAGCATTCAAGCAAATTGGAGCCTGGCTTCACACATCTAAGTTGCGATTGAACATTAATTTATGCATTTCTGCATAATACAAATAGTATTATTTTCAACAGCCTTTGCTATGTTAGCTGAATTTTGCTTTTATAAATACTACTTTTTCAGCCAGGCAGCCGAAATTGTGTGCTTGGTGTTTTGGGTTAACATTTATTTTGAAGATACTAGGGCTTCCAGGCATATTTCTAACCATTTGGCCTCTCATTGTGTGCCTTAACAGCCCGTGTGATGAATTGGGGAATATCTTGAATATATGAATAAATATAAACGTGTAAGTCATGTGTGACTGTGTATATATTCATTCCTCTGTGCCTCGATACTGACGTAGATGGTGTGTATATTTTTTTCTGTTTGCAGCTGACGCTTCTTCTGACGCTTCCTCTGCAGAATTGGTCTGATGGAGCAAAGGCACTCAGCGCAGCTCGGTAAAAAGCAAAAACAATGGGACCAGAATGCAAACAGCATGGATTGTACTGGAAGTGTGATACGGCACCAGAGAACTCAAAGAGGAGAGAAAACCTTCAAGTGCACTGTGTGTGAAAAGGCATTTGCATGGTCATCAGTTCTTCAAAAACACCAGAGAATACACACAGGAGAGAAACCCTTCAGGTGTAGTGCGTGTGGGAAGGCATTTTCAGATTCATCTGTTCTTAAAAGACACCAGAAAACACACACAGGAGAGAAACCTTTCAGGTGTAGTGTGTGTGAGAAGGCATATTCAGATTCATCTGGCCTTAAAAAACACAAGAGAACACACACTGGAGAGAAACCCTTCAAGTGCACTGTGTGTGCGAAAGCATTTTCACAGTCAACACATCTTAAAATACATCAGAGAACGCACACAGGAGAGAAAGCCTTCAAGTGCACTGTGTGTGAGAAGGCATTTTCAGAATCATCTGCCCTTAAAAGACACCAGAGAATCCACACAGGAGAGAAACCTTTCAGGTGTAATGTGTGTGGGAAGGCATATTCAGAATCATCTGCCCTTAAAAAACACGAGAGAACACACACTGGAGATAAACCCTTCAAGTGCAGTGTGTGTGAGAAGATATTTTTGGGTTTATTGCTTCTTAAACGACACCAGAGAACACACATGGGAGAGAAACCCTTCAGGTGCCTTTTGTGCGATAAAGCGTTTGCAAAGTCATCAGTTCTTAAAGAACACCAGACAATACACACAGGAAAGAAAGCCTTCAAGTGCAGTGTGTGTGAGAAGGCATTTGCACAGTCATCACATCTTCAAAAACACCATAGAACACACACAGGAGAGAAACCTTTTAGGTGCACGCTGTGCGGCAAGGCGTGTTCACAGTTATAAAATCTTCATAGACACCAGAGAACACACAGGCATCAGAAGATCCCCAAGGAGTGTAGTCTGAAATCGACTTGTGAAAGTCAAAGTGCTGCAATGAGCCCATCCCTACTGAAAAAAGAACCAGAAGTAAATTCCAGCTTGGACACTATGAAATGTATCGAGGTGAAATTTGAAGACGTGAAGGTGAAATGTGAAGAAGTGATGGTGAAGAGCGAAGAAGTGAAGGTAAAATGTGAAGATGAAGATTCAACTCCAAAATCAGACCTTCACATTCATGGAGGCAACGTGAAGCAGGAGGAGAATTCGGACTGTGAGGCAGAGCGAGGCAACGCCCAGCAGTTTGTGGAAGTGGAGGTATGGGTGGACTTCCTCGACAATATAAATTCAAATGGAGACCCTGTAGATGTGGACTCTTGAGACAATGAAGCTCCAATAGATTCACGTTTGTCACAGGCCTTTAATAAAAATAACGTGACGTTGAATTGCATAAACTTACCAATGAATTAATTGATGAAACACTAATCATTTATAAGCATCTATGTTACGAATCTACACACTCACAGGAATACTATTGTGTTGAGATTTTTCTTTTGATCACAGAATCTTGCCCGCAAATTCATTGATGTCTCAATCGCCAATTGATAAGCATCTGTTAGCCAAATAGGCACACTAGCACTCACACTATTGTTTCAGGACATTTCGTTATTTGCATAATCTTACAAATTAATTCATTGGTGTCTACTTTTGCCATTGGGCACATGTTTCTTTAGCATGTTTCGTATGAGTAGTATACATTTTTACGGACTTTTCCTATCGCCGTGTATGGTCGCTCTACTCGGAGGAGTTAGCTGATTGTTGTGTTACTCAGTTTTAACAAACGTAACCATTGACAGTTAATTGTACGGATCAATGAGTAGGACAGCTTCAGGAGTACGGTATTGGCGATTCTGATCATAAGTGTTAGTGTTTTTAGATATTAAAGTTGCTTAACATATAAGAGTCTGAGTGGTTCCTTCCTAAGTTCATGCATAATAATCTTAATTATAAGAACTGTATCTTTCGATTTAAAGCTTTCGTGACTGCAATGATTCATCTTTTTGGTTCTTTCGGTAAAGTCACGTAGAATGAGAATAAAATAATAAATTGATCAAATAAAATAACACAATAATATTCTCACGACGTTTCGGCCACAACACAAGCGGCCTTCATCAGGTGAAGGGACGAGACTGTCTGGTAGGACAGCGCTGGAGTGAAAGAGCCACGTTCGGATCACGGCCTTTAAGCTGTGTGAGAGGAACAAAGCGCCTTGACAAAGGAATTAGCATATAATTTAGCATTGAAATGGCTGAATGATTAGCTTGTGACTGTTCACAGAAATAGTTATGTTAAAAGTTAAAGCATACACATCCGCAGAGGCACCCCTTGACAATGGAATTAGCATAGAATTTAGCATTGAAATAGCTAAGTTAAAGCATACACATCTGCAGAGGCACCCCTTGACAATGGAATTAACATAGAATTTAGCATTGAAATAGCTGAGTGATTAGCTTGTAACTGCTCACAGAAATAGCTACGTTAAAGTCAGACCATACACATTCACCGAGGCACTTAGTACAAATCAAACAGGAGAATTTAGCATTGAAATAACTAGGCGAATTTAGCATTGAAATAACTGAGTGATTAGCTAGTGACTGGTCACAGAAATGACTATGTTGAAGTCAAGGCCTACACATCTGCGCTATTCACAGTACTATATAGTGAACCAATAAAAACTAAAATATAAATTACCTTCATGTTATCAATAAACTCTATATTCTCCAATCAGCTAAGCTACCAACAATAAGTCGTTATATATCACAATGCTATATGGCGAAAAAATGGGTGGATTCTTACCCTCAACTTCAGCACCACGGATAGCTACGGGCCCCGTTCAGACGGACTAGTTCGTCCATGGTCGGAACAGAGGAGGGGGAGAGAGACAGCTGCGAGGCCCTAGTATACTCCATGTTGTAAAACCATACCATTAACCGTGGTGTGAGAGGTATTAAGAGGCAATGCTGGCGAAAGAGCTGCGGTCTGAAGGTCATCGTAAAAATACAATTAATTAAGAACAGAAATGATTTAAAACATCTTTCCAGTGGTTACTAAGCAAGAATCCATCTTCTCGGTTGAAATTGTCTCTGTGCTTGTATATGTGAATGGCCTCATGAACGAATCTCTCATGGTAGCCGGTTGGTTTGCAAAGAACCTCCGTCTTGGAGAAGTCAATGTCATGTGAGCCCACTGAATTATAACAGTGATCTGCCACGGCAGAGGAGTTCGTCCTACCGTGTTTCAAGTCTGCTTTATGTTCGCGGATGCGGTCCGAGATATGTCTTTTGGTTTCTCCAATGTAGCTACTACCACAGAGGCACTTTAGTTTGTAAACGCCCGGGTATTGTATGTCTGGAACAGCATCTTTTACAGATGGAACTAAATCACGGATTTTATGTACTGTGTTGAATCGGACCTGGATCTTGTGTTTATTCAGGATTTGGAGATCTTTTTAGTGACCCCTGCAATGTAGGGTAAGGTGATGGTTTTGAGTGGCTCCACAAGAGGATCCTTCTTCATGACTGGAGTGATGGCTTTGCGGATTGTGTAGTCGGAGTAGCCATTAGCCCTGAGAGCCTGGTGTACGTGCTTGAGTTCACTGGTAATGTGTTCCTGGTCGGAAATGCATTGGGCTCTATGGTATAGAGTCTTGATGAGGGAGTTCTTCTGGGATGGATGGTGGTGGGAATCCGGTTTCAAGTAAGCTTCTGTATGGGTAGCTTTCCTGTAGACAGAGTGGCTCATTGAACCATCATGTCTCCTTTTAATTAAGACATCCAAAAAGGGTAGTTTGCCATCTTTTTCGACCTCCATGGTAAATCTGATGGCTGGGTGTATGGAATTGATGTGGTCGCGGAATTGGTCTAGAGCAGGCTGGCCATGTGGCCAGATGACAAAGGTGTCATCCACGTACTTTTTCCATAAGGTCGGGCGTAGAGTGGCAGTCTGGATGGCGTCAGTTTCAAATTTTTCCATGAATACGTTGGCTACAACCGGAGATAGGGGGGAGCCCATTGGGGTGCCCTCAGTTTGTTTGTAGAAAGTTCCATTCCAGGTCAAGTATGTGTTGGTTAAGCAATGTCTCACCAGGGGGGGTACATCAGTATGCAGTCCTTGATGAACCAGGTCTTCAATGATAGTGATGGTGTCAGGTACCGGGACTTTGATGAACAAGGACACCACATCAAAACTGACAAGCAGGTCGTTTGGGGACAGGGAAATGCCTTTGATTGTCGATACCAGGTGAGTAGAATTTAGTACTGCAGAGGTGGTTTTTCCAGTGAAAGGTCGCAGTATATCAGCAAGAAAACGTGCCAGTTTGTAGGTGGGGGAGCTGATAGTAGAGACGATGGGACGAAGGGGTGTATCTTCTTTGTGTATCTTTGGAAGGCCATATAATCTTGGTGGTCTGGCAGCAGAGGGTTTCAACGAGAACTGTTTGATCTCATCAATTAATGCTGTTGAATCAGAGATGATTTTGTTCGTTTTGGTGACCAGGCAGCTATACAAAAATAAAAAGAGATCCCACCAACAGCCTGGTCACCAAAACGAACAAAATCATCTCTGATTCAACAGCATTAATTGATGAGATCAAACAGTTCTCGTTGAAACCCTCTGCTGCCAGACCACCAAGATTATATGGCCTTCCAAAGATACACAAAGAAGATACACCCCTTCGTCCCATCGTCTCTACTATCAGCTCCCCCACCTACAAACTGGCACGTTTTCTTGCTGATATACTGCGACCTTTCACTGGGAAAAAACACCTCTGCGGTACTAAATTCTACTCACCTGGTATCGACAATCAAAGGCATTTCCCTGTCCCCAAACGACCTGCTTGTCAGTTTTGATGTGGTGTCCTTGTTCACCAAAGTCCCGGTACCTGACACCATCGCTATCATTGATGACCTGGTTCATCAAGGACTGCATACTGATGTACCGCCCCTGGTGAGACATTGCTTAACCAACACATACTTCACCTGGAATGGAACTTTCTACAAACAAACTGAGGGCACCCCAATGGGCTCCCCCCTATCTCCGGTTGTAGCCAACGTATTCATGGAAACATTTGAAACTGACGCCATACAGACTGCCACTCTACACCCGAACTTATGGAAGAGTTACGTGGATGACACCTTTGTCATCTGGCCACATGGCCAGCCTGCTCTAGACCAATTCCGCGACCACATCAATTCCATACACCCAGCCATCAGATTTACCATGGAGGTCGAAAAAGATGGCAAACTACCCTTTTTGGATGTCTTAATTAAAAGGAGACATGATGGTTCAATGAGCCACTCTGTCTACAGGAAAGCTACCTATACAGATGCTTACTTGAAACCGGATTCCCACCACCATCCATCCCAGAAGAACTCCCTCATCAAGACTCTATACCATAGAGCCCAATGCATTTCCGACCAGGAACACATTACCAGTGAACTCAAGCACGTACACCAGGCTCTCAGGGCTAATGGCTACTCCGACTACACAATCCGCAAAGCCATCACTCCAGTCATGAAGAAGGAATCCTCTTGTGGAGCCACTCAAAACCATCACCTTACCCTACATTGCAGGGGTCACTAAAAAGATCTCCAAAATCCTGAATAAACACAAGATCCAGGTCCGATTCAACACAGTACATAAAATCCGTGATTTAGTTCCATCTGTAAAAGATGCTGTTCCAGACATACAGTACCCGGGCGTTTACAAACTAAAGTGCCTCTGTGGTAGTAGCTACATTGGAGAAACCAAAAGACATATCTCGGACCGCATCCGCGAACATAAAGCAGACTTGAAACACGGTAGGACAAACTCCTCTGCCGTGGCAGATCACTGTTATAATTCAGTGGGCTCACATGACATTGACTTCTCCAAGACGGAGGTTCTTTGCAAACCAACCGGCTACCATGAGAGATTCGTTCATGAGGCCATTCACATATACAAGCACAGAGACAATTTCAACCGAGAAGATGGATTCTGGCTTAGTAACCACTGGAAAGATGTTTTAAATCATTTCTGTTCTTAATTAATTGTATTTTTACGATGACCTTCAGACCGCAGCTCTTTCGCCAGCATTGCCTCTTAATACCTCTCACACCACGGTTAATGGTATGGTTTTACAACATGGAGTATACTAGGGCCTCGCAGCTGTCTCTCTCCCCCTCCTCTGTTCCGACCATGGACGAACTCGTCCGTCTGAACGGGGCCCGTAGCTATCCGTGGTGCTGAAGTTGAGGATAAGAATCCACCCATTTTTTCGCCATATAGCATTGTGATATATAACGACTTATTGTTGGTAGCTTAGCTGATTGGAGAATATAGAGTTTATTGATAACATGAAGGTAATTTATATTTTAGTTTTTATTGGTTCACTATATAGTACTGTGAATAGCTCAGATGTGTAGGCCTTGACTTCAACATAGTCATTTCTGTGACCAGTCACTAGCTAATCACTCAGTTATTTCAATGCTAAATTCGCCTAGTTATTTCAATGCTAAATTCTCCTGTTTGATTTGTACTAAGTGCCTCGGTGAATGTGTATGGTCTGACTTTAACGTAGCTATTTCTGTGAGCAGTTACAAGCTAATCACTCAGCTATTTCAATGCTAAATTCTATGCTAATTCCATTGTCAAGGGGTGCCTCTGCGGATGTGTATGCTTTAACTTAGCTATTTCAATGCTAAATTCTATGCTAATTCCATTGTCAAGGGGTGCCTCTGCGGATGTGTATGCTTTAACTTTTAACATAACTATTTCTGTGACCAGTCACAAGCTAATCATTCAGCCATTTCAATGCTAAATTATATGCTAATTCCTTTGTCAAGGCGCTTTGTTCCTCTCACACAGCTTAAAGGCCGTGATCTGAACGTGGCTCTTTCACTCCAGCGCTGTCCTACCAGA